TGAGATTTATTTATTTATGCATACATAACTGGGGTACAGGCCAGAGGTGGGGGGCGGGGGAGGGTAAGAGGACTCACTAGAGACAGAGTGGGAAACAGAACAGGCAGACTGCCTGAAGTACACTGCTGAAAGGAGCAGCGGGCAAGTCAGGAGAGGTCTGCTGCACCGTGGGGGTTGCTCCCTGGCCAGCCTGGGATCAAACTCGTGCTGCAGTGGCTGCGGACAGCTTCATAGGTTGCGTCTCAACCCGTTGTGCCACCAGGGAGGCCCCTCAGATTTTCTTAAAGGGATTGAGTCCTACCTCCTGCAGTTGTGGGTGTGAAATGAGATTAAAGGGGTGGTAGATGTACAGTAGTCACCTATAGCAGATGGTCCAGAAACACTCACTTGCTTCTCTTTACTTATATGTACGGAGCATTTTATAAATTTATAAAATACTTCATTCCTTTTATCAGTTAGTTTTCACAGTAATATTGTAAAATAGGTTAAGTAGGACTAAATATCATTAATAACCACATTTTCAGAGAGCAAAGAACAAGAGAACTGGGAGATGGGGTAAAGCAATTAAGTCACCCAACAAGTTAATGGTGGGGTCTATACCAGAAATCAAACTACTTGCATCATAATCTGCTATGAAAATAGCTATGTCATGTTGTTTCCTCTTATATCCTTTATCCTATAGACTATTAAAAGGCCATTTTGTGACTGCAATGCTTTCCCCTTTTCTGGGATATGCCTTAGACTACAATTATTGGACTTTGGGGACCAGAGTTTAATTTTCAGCTCTTCTATGCTTAACTCTGGGATCTTGGACAAATCACGTGATCATTGGAAGTTCACTTTCCTCATCATTAAAATGGGTATAGCCACAGCTGACAATTACTGAGCATTGACATGTGCCAGACACTGTTCTAAGTACTTTATATGGATTATGCTATTTAATCTTTCAATAAACATATGGCTGAAACGTGTTACAAATAAGAACAAATTTTTACCCAAGCATTGAGATCATAGAAACTGTACTTCTCAAAAATGGCTGTGAGAATTACTGGAGATATTAAGTAACTTAAAAACATACATTTATAAGTGGTATTTTACAAAGAATTATAAGAGGTCCTTGGAGGTTAGTTTCACTATTTATGTTAAAGATTTGTTTTGGCATAATTGTATCTTTGATAACAGTCTTAAATAATTTCATTGGATCATATTTCCCCCTATAGAAATAGCAGTCTTTTCAGAATCAAAGTGTAACAATTGCTGTATCTAAAAAAAAAAACACACAAATAAATTTTGGAATACATTTTTTTTAATTAGGCAGTTACGCATAGATCTTTAACTGTTATCAATTGCTGATTTTTCCATGAAGAAATGGGTTAGAAGACAACCTTCTTCTTTAATATTAATCTATTCCTAGACTCAAAAACATCCTAGGAGGTATACTCATCTGCCTCCACTCCTCCTTTCTGTATCTCCACCCATGTCACCGTCATGGAACCCAGACTGGTTGCCTTGTTGTTAGAGAAATCTGTCCATGACACTGAAGTATTGAGGATAGAGTGCTAGCTTTCGGGCTGGGGAAATGCAGTTTTGATTTTTAAAACTAAAGAGGAACCAGAAAACTCTAGAGACCTGTAACCTTGCACTCTTTCCAGCTGTAGGGAGTAAGCCCCTAATCAACCTTTATCTTTTGGGCCTTCTATAGTTGCCTCCACCAGTTCTCATGTTCTGGGTGCTCTTTTCCCATCTTATTATGGAAAAGAACACAACCACATACATTCTTCCCCCCATTTTTGGAGAAAACAAGCACCGAGTCTCTCAGAGTTCTCCTTAGATGTTTTATCATTAACCCCACAAGGAGAAAAGGTGGGGGTGACAAACAGTGGGAACGTTTAAAGATATATGAGGTCTTAAAAGTCTCAGAACAATTATCCTTAAATACAAAATGGGTTTTGCTGCTCTCATCCTTGGTTTCTCATCTATTTACCTCTTTTTTTTTAATGCTGTGAGATAAGCCAACTCTAAGCTTTGTCTCATTTCTATTGCTGAAAACACCTTCCTGAGTCCTCCAAATCCAGTAGAGGGCGACAAAGGCATGCACAGATGGTAAGAGTGCGCCTTGTCTAGGTACTTCTGAGACCCAACTAGGGAGCATTGTCTCCACCAACACCTGTCTCAGTTGCTGTGTTGCCTCTGTCTCTCCTCTCTCTGTCTCTCTACCTCTACCTCTGCTCATCTCTGTTGGTCTAACTCCACTTACAAGATCATATTGGAACTTGGTATTTGATAAAAGAGGCATCAGATCAATAGAGAAGGAAAAGATTAATTCCAATAAAGCGTCTTTAAACAGCTGGATTTCAAGTAAGGAGAAATCATTTGAGTGTCTTAGGTCACAGTTTACCCTAAAACAAATTATCAGAGATGGATTATAGAGTAGAATTTAAAATTTATCAAATAATAGAAGCAAACAGAATATTTACCAAAACTTATCATGGATAAACTTTGAAACCAGGGAAAATATCAAGAGTTAACTATATAAAAATCAAAACTTCTGTCACTTAAAAATCAAGATAGAACAGAAGAATAACTTCTAGATTAGAGAGAATAGTCTTAGCATATGCAACAAAGTGTTGGTATAAAGAGCTCATGCAAATTGATTCAAAAAAGCAAAATGTGTTCCTAATAAATCATAAAGAACACTAAGAGATATCATGAGTGAGAAAATTAAATTAGGAAATAAGCCTTTAATAAAATATACAATTGACTAGTGATCAAAGTAGGAGGGGCACTTTTATCTTGTTCAATGAACAAAGAAAAAAGTTTTTTAGGGCCTCCCCTGGTGGCTCAGCGGTTGAGCGCTGAGCTGCGGGGATGCCCGCAACCTCTACAGCGCCTGTTCGTTACCCAGCCGCCGGCGAGGGTCCCACAAAAAAAAAAAAATTTTTTTTAATGCTTACATTAAAGCATTGGTGAGTATAATTAAGATACACTAATATATCACATTAGTGACAGGTAACAGTATAACAAACCACAGTTTGGGAATATGCATCAAAGCCTTAAAAATGCTCATACTTTTGGTCCAGTAATTTTACTTCTGGAACTATGTTATCACAGAATAATTATTTTGAGAAAAAGTATATGTCTAAGAATGTGTGTTACAATCACAAAATATATTTTTAAATGGAAATAAGCTAAAATTTCAACAAAGTGGAAATTGTTTAGTGTATTCTGGCTGTATCCATTTTATGGGCTGGCATATGCATGTTTAAAGATGACTTGAAAATGTATAAAAGTTAGAAAATGACAAGTTAAAAACAGAATAAAGTTTCTATGTGAAGTATAATTTCCACTATGTTCAAAAATAAACAGAGAAAACCTTAGGATTGGAGGGTTTTTTTTGCTTTCTGTACTTTCCAAAGTTTATTTATATTATCATTTTGAATGATCACACACATATTATGGTATGTGTGTATATATGAAAGATCAGCATATGTGAGATTATATTTAATATATCATCATAAGATATACATTTTACAAAGATATGTATTTACATATATGTATGTGTGTGTGTGTGTGTTTGTGTATGCATTAGGCATTATTGAGTCCTGGGTAACTGGGCATAGGAGTAAGATTCTAGATACCACACACATCATTGATGAAAATAGTGAGAATTTAGAGTAAAAAAAAACTAGGCAGATTCTTGGGATTAACCACCTATCCAGCTCCACAGAGGGGCATGGTGATGCCCGCGATCCAGGATCTTAGGACCTTCTCTGTGGTGCTTTCGTTCAACTCCCTGGTGAGAAAGGAATGGGGAGTTTTAAGACTCTGGAAATCATATGGGTGGCCCTAGTATCACCCCAACATCAGAAGCAGAATCAGGGAGGAGATCAGAGTCCTGTGAATACAAAGGAGCGTCTTCCCGTGAGGGGGTTAGAGTGTGACGATTATGAGAATTCAGAGACAAGGAGTTCCTTGGCCACCTAAACCCACCGGAACTTTTTGCTAGACCTCCCAGAATTCCTCTTTCACATGCACTCCCTCCTCCCTCCTACTTACCCTCTGCCTTTCTTTCCCTGCCCTCTCTCCCTCTTCCGTCTGAACTTCCTGCTCTTTCTTTTATTCATTATAAAAATATTTATTTATTCCCTAGGCTGTGCTGATAGTTTATTAGGCTTGCACCACCCCCACCCCCTTGTTAGTAAATTAATGGGGGGAATGGAACAACCAACCCTGATTGGGGTGAGGGCAGGAAGGCAGTCCTGAAAGAAGGACATCGCATCTGTTTTCTGAAGCTGCCTAGGGATCAGGCAGGTGAGGAAGCACAGGTGAGTGTGGCCCGCACAAAAGTCAGTGGGTATTCTCATGGGACGATGACTGTGTCTCTACTTGTTCACTAACTCAAGGCAAGTCTGTGTGTTAAAGTGTGTGTGTGTATGTGTGTGTGTGTGAAAAAGAGAGAGAGAGAGAGACCAAATGTTTGAACATGTGACTCAGGAGAGAGAGGAGGGAAGAAAGGGACAGAGGAGAAACAGACATAAACAACGCGAGAAAGGAAAGTGGAGAAGACAAGGGTAAGAGCTGGAGAGAGCGAGAAGTTGGCTGGAATTGAATGTAATGACCTGAGTCATCAGTCTCGGGAAACTCAAGTGATAGGTTCTTGACCAGCTGACCCATGGAGCTCTCTCTGTGCCTGGTGCTGTGCTTAGATACAAGGACCCTGGATGAATAGGCCCTGCCATCTCTCAACTCACAATCCTGTTGAGGAAAGGAGATTGCACACATGGAATAATGCTAAACAGTGCAAATTTGGGGTCAGAAGGGGCCCAAAGGGGTCTGTAATGGTCAGAGAAATCTCCCTGGAAGAGGTGATCATTGAGAGGGCAGTCTAGGAAGTGGCTTCTCCTGAGGTGGGGAGTCCTGCTTGCATCCTGATTGGGCGTGCTGCGGTGGGGAGGCGCCTCCTCTTCGGTGACTGACAGTGCAGGTGTGAATTCCAGGGCACAGGATGCTGTGGCTGCAAGCTGTTCTGCTGATACTTGCCCAGTCCAGTTATGGCCAGGACATGACAACCGAAGGCACTGAAGTCCTGCATCCCCCGCCCAAAGGGTCCTGCCCAGGTTGGATGGCAGGCATCCCCGGGCATCCTGGCCACAACGGGGCCCCGGGCCGTGATGGCAGAGATGGAACCCCTGGTGAGAAGGGTGAGAAAGGAGATCCAGGTAAGGACAAGATTTTTTGCCTCTTCCATCAAGACTTCTCCTGTGTAAAGGAGGGCTTCCAGAACTATCTGAGGATGCTAGTTATTAAGACCTAGACACAGAAAGAAACAAAGCTGTATAAATGTGGCTCATGTGCAAACTAAAGTGGATTTTGAGTTGCTTTTCTAGTGGTGAGAAAAGGTGGTACTTGTAAAATCCAGGAACTTTGGCTCTGTAATCTACATATATACATCCCACCCCCTGTCCCATCCCTACTCGCATTCATCCCTATTCCCAATTTGTTCACATTCCAACTCCCCATTAAGTGGCATACAACCACTACCACACCTCTGGCAGGTCATGGTTCTACTTTTAGAGAACACTTGGTCTAGTTAAGAAGATAAATAAGGCCTCTTTGATGGTGCAAGGGGTTAAGATGCAACCTATGAAGATGTCTGCAGCCACTGCAGCATGACTTCAATCCCTGGCCAGCCAGGGAGCTACCCACATGGCGCAGCAGACCTCTCCTGACTCGCCTGCTGCTCCCCTCAGCAGTGTACTTTGGTCAGTCTGCCTGTTGTGTTCCCCACTCTGTCTCTGGTGAATTCCCTCACCCCCCGCACTTCTGGCCTATACCCCAGCTCTTGTGTGCATAAATAAATAAATCTTTTAAAAAAAAAAGATAAATAAAATACAAAAGATTCTGTTAGAGGTTGCTGCAAGGAAGTCTATTCCAAATATGCCAAACTGAATGTGAACAAATGCCCAAAGTATGGAACAGAAAGAAAATGTACTCACTGCAGATCTGATTAACAATAGGGGCTTTTAGGATGATTCAGGGTTTGAACTTGGCCTTGAAGGGTGGGTAGACAAAATAAAGAAATGTGGGCATCCTAGACAGAGGGGACAGAAGAGCAAAATTATTGGTTTTGAGCCAATTCTTGGTTGGTTGAGCCAGCCTGTAAAGGATTGGCAGGGTGAAGGGTCTATGATGGAGACTTATGTAAGATAATATTGGAACTGAATTTATGGGGTCTCATGGGCCACCCTTTGGAAGATGTGGAAGGAAAACATGACAGCTCTTCCTTTAGGGAACTCCCATTTAATTTTTTTTTTATTTTTTGCATAGAAGAACTGGGATGTAGGCCAGAGTTATAGGGGGTGAGAGAATTCACTGCAAAGTGGCACCAGAACAGGTGGATTTTACTGAAATACACTGCTAAGGGGAGCAATGGGCAAGACAGGAGAGGTCTGCTGTGCCATGTGGAAGCTCTTTGACTGGGAATCGAACTTGGGCTATAGTGGTGATAGTGCTTAGACTTAATCCCTAGGCCACCAGGGAGGCCCCCCATTGTTTCCTTGCTCATTAAGTCAAGCAGATTGTGGGTAGGGGCCACAGAGACAGTGTTATAGACTTGGCCCAAACTGTTTCTTGTGGTCACTAATGTCTTCTCATTTCCTAGGTCTTGTTGGTCCTAAGGGTGACACTGGTGATGGTGGAGTAACTGGGAATGAAGGTCCCCGAGGCTTTCCAGGAGTCCCAGGCCGGAAAGGAGAACCTGGAGAAAGTGCCCATGTGTACCGCTCAGCATTCAGCGTGGGACTGAGTAATCAGGGTACTGTCCCCAATGTTCCCATTCGCTTTACCAAGATTTTCTACAATCAACAAAACCACTATGATAGCACCACTGGCAAATTCCACTGCAACATTCCCGGGTTATATTACTTCTCCTACCACATCACAGTCTACCTGAAAGACATGAAGGTCAGCCTCTTCAAGAAGGACAAGGCTATGCTCTTCACCTATGACCAGTACCAGGAAAAGGACTTAGATCAGGCTTCTGGCTCTGTGCTCCTCCATCTGGAGATGGGCGATGAAGTCTGGCTCCAGGTGTATGGGGATGGAGAACATAACGGGCTCTACGCAGATAATGTCAACGACTCCACCTTCACAGGCTTCCTTCTTTACCATGACACCAACTGATCCCCACTGACTCACAGCCTCCACCAGACCAAATAGCCCAGAATCAATCAAATAATAGTCTGCAGTTTTTCAGTATAGTTAGGAGACTGATTTTATTATCTAGTTGAAGGGCTCTAAATATTATTCATTTATTTACTCTGCTCATTCACTCATTCATTCATTCATCTAGTACCTTTTTAAAAAGACTCATATACTACATTAGTACTCCTGAAAAAGACAAGTTCCCTGGCCTCAAGGAACTATTATGTAGCAGTAATGAAAGGATAATAACATTTACTGGGGAGTTTCACACACATGATAATTAATTACAATAAAGTATTTGACAAAGCTCTTCTGTGCCCAGGGTATTTCCTTATGTCCATTCTTTTTTTTTTTTTTTAAAGGTTTATTTATTGATGCATACAAGAACTGGGGTACAGGCCAGAGGTGTGGGAGGGTGAGAAGATTTACCACAGACAGAGTGGGAGCAGAACAGGTGGATTGACTGAAAACACTTCTGAGGGGAGCAGTGGGTGACAGGAGAGGTCTGCTGTGCCATGTGGGTATCTCCCTGGCCAGCTGGGTATGGAACTCGTGCTGCAGAGGCTGCAGATTGCTTCATAGTGCTGTGCTTAACCCTTTGTGCCACCAGGGAGGCCCCTCCTCATGTCCATTCTAATTCTGTGAGGTACACAGGAAACATGTTCTTCTGATTTTACACTTGGAGTCTGAGACTGAGATTTAAGTGAATGTGTGAGGTCACACAGGTATTAAGTGGCAGTTAAAAATCCAACTCGGGGCTATGGATCTTTCCCACTAGATTGTGCCATCGTTTAGGAGGCTGTGGCTTCCTCAGTGCTTTGGTAGAGGGTATTCTCAGAACACCCTCAGAACAGCTCACCTGAGGGCCTCTGAATTGACCTTTTTGATGAGTTAAACATTTACCCTGATAAAACTCCCTCCAAGATGGTGGTTCTCTATCTAAGACTCAATGACCCGTGTGCTACTCTGTGCTTCGCCTTCTCTGTTTTCCCTCATGTTCCCTCTGCCCAGAAATCCAACTCCATCACCACATGCTGAAATCCTTCCTGTACCTCACAACCACCTGGCCAGGAAGCTTCTCTGCTGAGATATTTCAAAGCTTTGTCACACAACGTTCCCCTGGGCCCCTCCACGTATTACCCTGGATGAGAGTCCTGGGTGTGGGCAACATCTTCCCGCCAGCCAGGGCAGCTGCCCAGAATGGATAAAGCCTCCTTCACTTCTAAGTCTACCTGCAAGTTGTTGATAAAGGCCCCAGGAAGACCAAATATTTTTTTAACCTTTTTTTTTTTTTTAAAGATTCATTTATTTATTTATGCAAGTACTGGGTACAGTCAGAAGCTAGGGAGGGTGAGAGAATTCACCAGAGCCAGAGTGGGGAGCAGAGCAGGCAGAGGGACCGAAGTACACTGCTGAGGGGAGCAGTGGGCAGCAGGAGAGGTCTGCGCGCCATGTGGGACCCTTGCCCGGTGGCCGGGGGTCGAACCAGCACTGTAGAGGCTGCAGGCAGCTTCGCAACCCAGCGCTCAACTGCTGTGCCACCGGGGAGGCCCTAAACTTTTTTTTTTAAGATTTATTTATTTATACAAGAACTGGGGTACAGTCAGAGGCGCAGGGGTGCTGAGAAAATTCACCAGAGACACAGTGGGGAGCAGAACAGGTAGACAGATCAAAGACACTGCTGAGGGGAGCAGCGGGTGTGACAGGAGAGGTCTGCTGAGCCATGTGGGATTCTCCCTAGCCACCGGGATCGAACCCGTGCTGCAGAGGCCGCTGCAGAAAGCCTCACAGTGCTGCGCTTAACCCTCTGTGCCACTGGGGAGGCCCAACACCAACTTCTTGAGTCTCACATCTACCAAGATGAACTCTGTTTCAGTCTCTCCATACTACTAGTCTTTATTTATAAAACATTTTAATTTTAGGACCACCCTGACTAAAAGCACCCAATCCTTGTACCATTGGATGGCTTGGATCTTCTCCACTGAGGTTAGTGAGGGCTGCTTTCCAGAACCCTTAAAGAAGTTCCCTCAGAGAGGTAGATTGAGCCTGTAATGCAAAGCCCACAAAGGAATTTGGAAGCCATTCTTTCCTGAGTATTAACAGGACCTGGGAAGACTTGGACCTACTGAGAGAGAGAGAGAAAGGGGAAAAAAAGAAAATGATAACTACCTGAGGTGGTAGATATTTTAATTAGTTTGATTGTGGTGATTATTTCACAATATAATCTATATAAAAATCATCAAGTTGTATACTTTACATATATACAATTTTTTTATTATCAAACGTTCCTCCCCCAACCTCAATTCCCACTGATACCAGAAGTGGGAAAATTGGTAATGAATTTGAAAATACCTGTCTACATCAAACTATATCAATGTTATGTTTTCTCAGGTTTCTCAGAGAAGTAATGCTGGAAAATTACTAATGATTTTTTTTTCTTAAATTTCAACCATCTTCTTAAACATCTTCTCAGGGAACAATAGCTCAAGTTGTGCTCATCAAAGGTTTTATGAAAGGGCCTCCCCGGTGGCGCAGCGGTTGAGCGCTGGGTTGCGAAGCTGCCCGCAGCCTCTGCAGCGCCGGTTCGATCCCCGGCTGCTCCGGCCACCAGAGGAGGGTCCCACATGGCGCGCAGACCTCTCCTGCGGCCCGCTGCTCCCCTCAGCAGTGTACTTCGGTCCTTCTGCCTGCTCTGCTCCCGGCTCTGGCTCTGGTGAATTCTCTCACCCTCCCGCGCTTCTGACTGTACCCAGTGCATGTATAAACGAAACAAACGAACAAACAAACAAATAAATAAATAAAAACATGCCTCTATAAAAAAAAAAATAATAAAAAAAAATAAAAAGTTTTATGAAAAGCAGAGTTAATAGCATTCTGCATAAATATAGAAATTAAAAACCTATTTTCCATTTACAATTTAAAATTCCAAATGATTTTCTTTTACTTGTGTATTGCAGTAATTGATGATTATTTCTATGTATAAAGATTTGTCTTTTTTTAAAAAGATTTATTTATTTATGCATAAAGAACTAGAGTACAAGCCAGAAGTGCAGGGCTGGGGGTGAGAGGATTCCCCAGAGACAGAGTGGGGAGCAGAGCAGGAGGACTGACTGAAACACACTGCTGACGGGCACAGTGGGCAATACAGGAGAGGTCTGCTGAGCCATGTGGGTCAGCTCCTGGCCTCGATCTAACTAGTGCTGCAGTGGCTGCCTATAGCTCCATAGTGCTTGTATATCATTATTTTCCACAAGAAAAACTCTATTCAGCATAGTAGAAGAACTTGTATCTCGTGGCTCTTGTTTTTAGTTTTGGAGAAAGACAGGATTTCAAGAGGGATGAAGGGATAAACCTTGTGTTAGTCAGGATTGTATGTTGTGAATGATAGAAAACCTAACTCTCACTTAAGCCAAAAAAATGTATTCCCTTCCATAACAGAAAACATAAAACTGTTCTGTCTTCAACTCTTGAACAGAGGTTGGAATGATGAGAAAACAAACCAGCCAAAACCTCCTTTCTGTCCGTCCTTCTACTCTGTCTTCACAGTGTGGTTTTACCCTCAGGCTCAGCACAGTATACATAGTTCTAGGCTCTTCCTCACGACATCAAAAACACTGTAGCCTGCCAGCTCTTGCACCCTTACACCCACCATCTGGACAAAGAGATCCACTTCTCCTGTGGTCCCCAAAGAGGAGAGAGGACACTGTCTTTTCCCAAACTCCAGCAAGTCAGTCCCTGCATGTTGCTGGCCCAGAACAGATTGGGTGCCCATCTCTGACCAATCACTGGAGTCGGGGAATGGAATAAACTTATTCACTTAAGTTGATTATAGCTTAAGCTGGGGAAGGTGTATTTTCTCTAAAGGAAAATCTAGACACTGTTACCGGAAGTGGGAAAATGGATCATGATTTGAAAACGTCTGTTGACAACAAACACACAGAACTGTGTTTTACTTCCTGGTTCTTATGGCCAGGAAATTGGAGTTCTTTCTGTGTTTTACTTTCTTGCACTATTGTCCTATTCTGTGTGACTTTCTGCTTAGGTATTTTGCAGCAAGTAAATAGCAACTAAAGTCACTATGTAAAAACCACATTTTTTTTTTTTTTTTTAGATTGCTTCATAGTGCAGTGCTTAACACTTTGCGCCACCAGGGAGGCCTGGCTTCTCTATTTTTGAATGGTTCAGATATTTTGGTGGCTTTCTCTGAGGATATTAATGGTGGCTTAGGTGAAGTTTCCTTTTCCTTACAAGTATCCTGTTTGCTTCCAGCTATATTTCTCTGTCTGTTTCTTTATCAGTCTGCTGTGTTGAAGAGGTCTTTACATGTCCATTTCCTGCATATCACATCTTTCCTGCTGGGGATTACGGCCCTCAAGCAAAGAACACACACTCTCTTCTGATGAGACACTCCCCTTAGAATTTCTACTACCAATTCACCCGTGCACCATCACCATAGTCCCTTGTGCTCTTTACTCTTTTTTTTGTTTGTTTTTTTAAAATAAATTTTATTTTTATATTCCCCATACAATTGCAATCCCCTTATTTTGACCCCAATCCCTCCCCTCCCCTCCCCGCCCCACACCACCCATAGAGTGTCTCTGGTTCATAGTTGTTTGTTGATTTTGATTTTCACTTTCTTATAGTTATTAATTTTCCTGGTCCCTTATTTAAGTTTTCTAGATTCCTGCTATGAGTGAGACCATCCGGTATTTTTCTTTTTCTTTCTGGCTTATTTCGCTGAGCATGATCCCTTCCAGCGCCATCCATGTTGCTGCAAATTGCATGTGTTTATCTTTTTTGAATGCTGAGTAATATTCCAATGTGTATATGCACCACATCTTCTTGATCCAGTCATCTATTTTGGGGCATTTGGGTTGTTTCCAAAGCTTAGCTATTGTAAACAGTGCTGCTATAAACATAGGGGTGCAGGTGCTCTTTGGAATTGATGTTTCTGTGTCCTTTGGGTAAATACCTAGGAGTGGAATTGCTGGATCATATGGAAGCTCTATGTTTAGTAGGTCCAGAAATCTCCACACAGCTC